TGTGTGTATATGTATATATGTATATATATATATATATATGTGTATATGTATATATATATAATCTGTATATGTATATATGTATGTATGTATATGTATATATATATATATATGTATATGTATGTATGTATATGTATATATATATATATATATATATATGTATATGTATATATATATATGTATATATATATGTATATATGTATATGTATATATATATGTATATATGTATATTTATATGTATATTTATATGTGTATATGTATGTATATATGTATATGTATTTCCAGCTAAGGCGACTGTCTAAGCTGAAGCCCATATTGTCCGAAAATAACCTGGAGACAGTAATTCATGCATTCATTACATCCAGGCTCGACTATTGCAACTCACTCCTTTTTGGTATCAGTCAAACCTCCATAGCTAGACTCCAACTGGTCCAAAATGAAGCAGCCCGGTTTTTGACCAGCACAAGCAAAAGAGAGCACATTACATCTGTTTTGGCCTCCCTACACTGGCTTCCGGTTCACCTTCGAATCAAATTCAAAATACTCTTGTATGTCTATAAATCACTTAACAGCTCTGCCCACTCCTATCTTACTGATCTGCTCCAGCCGTATGTCCCACCACGTTCTCTCAGATCAGCAGACCAGTTGCTCCTAACAGTCCCAGGAACCCGTCTCAAGCGCAGAGGTGACAGGGCCTTCTCTGTAGCAGGCCCAAGACTTTGGAATGAGTTACCTCTGCTCGTTAGACAGGCCCCCTCCCTCACAGTTTTTAAATCTCGCTTAAAAACACACTTTTATTCCCTGGCTTTCTGCACTGTGTGATCTGTGCTGAGTCTGTGTGCATCACACTGTGTTAGTCATGTTGCGGTTGTTGTTATCCATTATTGTTTTTGTTGGTTTCTACTTTTTGGTGTCCTGTTATGTAATCTGTTGCTATGTGCTTGTTCTGTTTGTCCCTGTACAGCACTTTGGTGTGCTTTGTCACTGTTTAAAGTGCTTTATAAATAAATTGGATTGGTATGTTATGGGATGTATATTTAAATGTATATGTATATATATGTATATGTATATTTAAATGTATATGTATATATGTATATGTATATTTACATGTATATGTATATATGTATATGTATATTTACATGTATATGTATATATGTATATTTACATGTATATGTATATATGTATATTTACATGTATATGTATATTTATATGTATATATGTATGTATATTTATATGTATATGTATATTTATATGTATATATACGTATATATATATATATATATATATATATATGTTTATATACGTACAGTATATATATGTATATATACGTGTATATATATATATATATATATATAT